GGCTGCATTCTGGACCAGCTGAAGTCGTCGAATACTCTTCAAGGGCAGCCCCATGTAGAGCACAAGTGTAGAATAATCATATCCAAGGACCAGTGGTGGGTTTCAAAAAATGTTTGGAACCTCTTCTGTAGGTGTGGCCTGCTTTCTGGGTCCACTGGTGGAACCTCTTCTAACCAGTTCAGTAGATTTGACGAACCGGTTCTACCGAATAGGTGCGAACTGGTAGGAACCCACCTCTGCTCTGATATGATTTGATGTGCATTTGATATTATATTAATTGGGGTTTTTTTGTTTTGTTTCTTGGTGAGGCACCCAAAACAATACATATTCTGAAAAAAATGAAAATGAAATAAAACTTAATAATAATAAAAAAAAACCTCGCGTATATTATTCTGTGCCATTGCAACTAACTCTCTTTCTCCTGAGGATGCCAGGTAAATAGCATATAAATGTAAAGCAATAAGCAGGTAAATAGACTTGCTCCTCAGCCCACAGAGATCAATAATAATATTTTCATAGACTTCAATTATCATAAATAACCCTCATCTTCTTTTGACATAGCAAATGATTAGTATGCAGTTTTGGGTCGCATTTGCTTTTCTTGCGTAACTTTTATTTTGCTGATTTACTCATAAAGCTGCACAATCCCCATTCTCTTCCTCTTAGGATTTCTGCCTTCAGAGCATCTCCAGCGTTTTCCTCCCTTTTTATTATGATGAAAACAGTTATCAGGTTTTGGAGTGGTGGGCCGAAGAGAAGAGGAGAAAAGAGAAATGACTCACGCAGTGAAAATGAAGTATATTTAAAGGATTAGAACACCCGAGGTTTTTTAGTACAGGTTAGTGTACCATCTACCACATCCCCACTGTTTTGTATGGCTGGACTCTACTGAATTCTCTCCTTTGTCCTTTCATAAAATCCCCTTATTGCTGCCTATTGATGCATCAGTGCTGGATTAAAAAAAAAAGTTCTAGAAAAGTATGGAGGGCACCAGAGCATTTAGTGGTGTTAGGACTGGCTTGGTTTATTGCTGAATGTTACATGCATCCATAACTGCAGGGGAAGCAGAGAGAAATGAAGTATCCATGTGTTAATTTAGATCTTCATATGCAGATTTGGAAACAATTTAATACAATAGCAGAGTTGGAAGGGACCTTGGAGGTCTTCTAGTCCAACCCCCTGCCTAGGCAGG